TACTCAACTTGGATGAATGCCTTTTTCAATGCAATTACCTATTCATCGTTTCAATAGGATTTTGGCCCCATATGGGCACTTTTAAGTGTGCGTAGATTTATGAAAAACTATTTATAACTCGGAGAACGACTTATATACATCAAAAAATAATCTTCATTAATAATCAGCGACCTAAAGTGAGATGAGAACTTAGAAGAAATTTTAGAAATAGATGCACATTTGTGAGAACAAATTTTTTGTGAAAAGACTTAGATGCGCGAGAAAGCGTATCGAAGTATAAAACGCAAGTTTGTGGAGTATATAGGGCCTCTTCATGCAGATCACTGAGTAAATAACAACAGTAGCGGAGCAATAGTTATAATAGCCCCTTTTTGCGGTTTTTACGTAATATCCTCCAAAAAGCGTAAATAAACTTGTGGCGATAGGCCAACTACAATTTGGCTAAGTTTAAATCCCAAAATTTTTACCAAAATTTAATCCAATTTTCTCGTTTTTGAATTGTTTAGAACGCAGTTTATTAAACATAAAATTATTTCTAATGGTTTTCTTGATAGGAACGTCAAAAATATAAAAGCTGTCCTAAGACTACATGCTGGCCAGCCAATCAGTTTCTACGCAGTCGGAGTAGAGCCGGCAGATGCGATCGTAAGAATATCTTTTGTGCGCATCGAGAGAACTAACCTCCCACGAAAGTACTATTCACGCTTTAGCGAAGGTTGTGTCAGCTGCCTTTCACAGTGGCGCTTAAAGTTCAGTGGATAGAGTGCGGTTTTCAGCGCCCAAAATCGACCGTCTGTGCTATGTGTTTATCTTTAAAATAAGATATTTCTTGAAAGTATTTAGCGAGGTAGAAGGTCCCTGCAGATTCTTTTCTACACAAATAAAGGTTAGTGTCGTATTTGTAAACCCACCGAACACACGAAACAACATCATTAAAATTAATGAACGTCCACGACTTAAGTGTGTGATAAGTATGCTCTCGATGAAAGAGAAAACTGTCTATGATAAGTTACCTACAGGAAATTGACTGAATACACGGTGTCTCTGCTTTCTACTCAAATATGTAAGCGTTTACTCCGATACAACTACTTAGGGATATATTCCACCTGAGCAAAAGACATTTTTCGAAACAGATTGGGTGCGTATGCAAACTGCATTGGGTTTCAAAATGACAATTCAAATGTTTATCATCACGGATAGTAGGAGGAGCGGCCATCCTGCGTCAGCGTCCATTAAGATTGTGAAAGGGTTGTTGAATTTCAAATTTTTCTTTTTTTATTGCCCGCTAAGATGATTTTTTTGTAAATCCCTAGTTCCTTGATCCAAATCTGTAAATCAAAAACAGATTTCAGTTGGCCAACGATGTCAGTCGTAACACACCATCGGTCCTAAGGAGAAACTAGATTCACGGCGTAGAGGTCGAGGACGTCAAAGATAGCACACACCGAGGTAGCGAAGCACAGAGAAGGGGTCCGGAATAAGATCTATCTGAATAGAGCTGTTCACATTTCTAAATACTTATCCACATGCAGAGGAAGAAGAAACGTTGGATAGGCGATAACGTATGATGCGAAGAGATGGAAACTAGAAAAGCATAAAATAGTAGTTAATTGTACAGACGGGACGAGTTACAAGGGAGTGACCTGTCTGGGTGGTGAGGCGACACCGACATGCCAGCTAAGCAACCGGTGGGGAATACAGCGCTGTGGGCAACTGCAGGGGAGGGTCGAGGGGGGTGTCGACGTTGAGAGGGAGAAAGAGCATGCGATGCGAACGTTACGAAAGGTTGCGGGAAAGGGGTCGGCGGTGGAGAGGGTGAAGGGCATCGGCCGTTTTCAGCGACATGCAGTTACGCCATCTCCATCCTATGTCCGCGCGCCAAAAGTGTCCCTTCATTCAAACAACCCTATGCAGGTCGTGGGACTTTACAACAGACCAAATACGTTTGCCAAGGCCACATTCAGGCAGCATCATTAAGGTGTTCGGAAGGTCTGTTGTCGATATGTCGCCCAGACCAATGTAATGTGTGCCCTCAAACGGCAAAACCCAACCATGCTTCAAAACGACACGCGTGTTTATTCTGAAGAATTCGTCATTAGGATGGGATACAGTCAATTCATAGGTAAAGTGCATCATAAGGACATCGAAAACTTCATAAACTGGATAAAGACTCCCCCTGTCGGGTCATTTGATAACACAGTCCAGCAAATGCATACTGTATATCGGAGAAAATGAGAATGCTTCATCAATGAAGATGCTTTCCGAGTTTCGAACTGTAAAAAGCAAGAGGTGCACCAAAAGCCTGCAAAACTTGTTATCCTATTTAGTGGCCAAGTGGGTAAAAATCTGCCAAACTGGAAAATGGACCTGCCTATAACAAAGGCGACAGATGAAGAAACATCGAGTGGATACCTGCAGGACCCAAACCTTCGCACAGGTGAGTATTCTAGCCAATTCAGACTCAAAATATCCTTTTATGGGAGTTTATCTGACGAAATAACAAAACATTCGGCGACCTCGTTGTAATTCGAAGCCCCGATAGAAGGGTAAGGTTTTAGAATGGCCAATACACTAACCGCATGAACTACGAGGCCCATTAGGGAGCGTGAATTTAATTACATTTTGATCATTCTATGTGCCCAGCCCACTTTAACATAGAGTTATTATCGGCAAAGACAAGGGAGACTGGACTGGTCACTTCTGACTTATTAACCGTCGTCAGACAGCCATACCCAACCCCCGAGGTGTGGAACACCTGGGGCTCGAACTCGCAACCTGCCATTTAGAAGTCCAGCGCCTTTAACCACTGAGCCATGGGCTCGTTGCCCTGGTGGTTTTGATCAGGAATATACAATGGCAGACTGGCCGACGACGACTAATAAGCCAGAAATGGCCATCCAACTCTCCATTGTCTTTGTCGGTAATGACATTCGACCTTTATCATGCGCCACTGTACGGCTGCCGGTTGGGCTCGAGGCAGAGCCCGTAAGGCACAACGGGACGAACGAGTTCCTTAGGAACGATCGGTGAGCATCCCTTTACCATTCTACTTTAACATAGTGGACCAACCAATTTTGAAATAAAATGCTGACTAGGGAAGACGAGGGTCCAGTTCATCAGGCCGACTGCTTGAGCAGATTTACCTAACCAATCCATCTGAAATTCGCCAAATTATGCTCAGGATCCATTACCTGACGAGTGTTCTGGTAGATTTTAGTAGTTCATTCGAGCCAACTGTAAAAAGCAGCGTCCTTGTAGCGCAGGTGGTTAAAATTCTGGCCGCAATAGGACTTTGTCTTTGAAGTTGCAGGTCCGAATCCTATCAAGGCCGTCGAGGTTTTTGCAGTTAAGTCTGATTAATTACTCTCATCTCCCAAAAAACAGCTTACGATAAATGAAACAAAGCTTTACTTTCTACTGTCTGCCTAAGGGGACATAAGAAAACTCATTCGTTCAATTCAGAGGTAAGACCATGGATGTCGAACTTAAAACTAGTATGTGCTGTAAATTTCGTTCGTTTTTCAAATTTTTTTATTACCAAACTTACCCAACATGGTAGCAGAACCTGTTAAAAAGTAGAGTCACAAGAATAGAGGCCAGGACCGCCAAACTCTGCCGATACTGCTAACTGCCAATTAGAAATGTGGCAATGGATCCCAAGGCGCTAACGACGGGAACATACAAAGAGCCAGTGCACGTACCCAATGAGAGTTCGGTGGAGGCCTTGTTGTGAAAGAAGTGGGAACGCCCGTATTGCTTACCTCTTAGAGTGGGTCGGAAATAGATGTCCACGTAGAAATGGGTCCTTCTGTTTCAGAATTCCTAGAATTATGTTTTGACTGATACGCACAACGAGGCGAAACCACATAAAACTGCTAAATGTGGTCGGAGGGTTGATATTTGATAGAACGACAGCTTTACTATGAATACCATGAGTTTGTATGTATAAGCGACGAAGGTTGTAGAAAACGGAGGGGGTCCCCACTCCGTATCCAGACTATGAATAATACTGACATTTCGACCATCGCGACCAAAGATATTCGCTGAGGACACGAAACGGTGACTTTTGCGTGAATAAGTGTACAGTGATAGCAGACTCGCGCTGCATTTTTCACACCTTCTCCTCCTTCGCCAATCTGACTCCGGTTTAAAGAAAGAATCAAGAGGAGGGGGAGGCAAGATTGAATGCAGCGCCTGACAATGCTACTTAGCTCATGTTATTGTTTCACACACGCCTGGTCCGCGCATGGTGGACCAGGTTTTCACAGAGCAAGGGTCAGCAAGGATCCAAAATGAGTGCGAGTGCCGCAGAGGCATAAGAACGAAGAAGTCAATGCATCCTGACTCTCCGTCCTTAGAGGACCCAGTTACCCAGTCAGTCCGCAGCCCTTCAAGTCATGGCTTTCAGCAAGCCATGATAGTGTGAAGCGCCAATATCAGTGCGATGAATTCACAACTGACCGGTCAGGCCGACAGATGATATGAAGGCGCGACCGCGTTTTACACAGGTTGTTATGGTGTTGGGGACGTTGGGGGCCTTCCCGCATCTCTGGTCTTCTTGACCCCGCCTTAACGCCGGATCCATGTGGAGAGTGGGGAGGAGAGAGCGCGATAGACGCTGCGTCAAACTAATTCACGCACCAGTCACCGTGCCTGCTACACCTTACCGTGTAGCACGCAGTGGATATCGTTGGAATGGAAGGTCAATCCGTCGTGTGTTTGTGTGTGTATGTGGGTGTGGCAGGGGTGTAGGGGTGTCAGCGGTGGGTTCACGTGAAGGTCGTAGTGGTCGCTCACTTGCTTGCAGGTGAGACTACGCCTAGCGTCCACTTGCTGGCACTCAACTCTCACCTGTGGCTCCACGTAGCTGGGCTCTGCTCAGCGGCCACACCCCGGGCAACCGTCTCGACCGACGGGCTAAACCAGGTGAGGGCGGTTACTCCCTGTGCGCGTTGTGCCGCGTGCACAGGTGACTGCGGACTCCGTGGACGGTTGGTCGGATGGAACACCGCGTCGGCGCCGTCGTGACGAGGCTCTGTCTGACACACCGCTGGTCAGCCGGTTGGTGGTGGAACGTCGCATCGGCATCGTCTAGACGAGGCTCCGCCTGGTACGCCGTTGATCAGCCGGTGGGATGGATCTCCGAATTGGCACCGTCGACACGCGCCCATCTGGTGCACCGTAGGAGACCGCAGGCTTGCGGCAATGCCGTAAGCCATTGGCAAATTCGAGTCGTTCTTCCACTGCCAAAAAAACTCGTGGCCCACAGTGGAGTTCGGCCGCGCCGGCACATCAAGCAGCCCCTATTCAGGGGTCAGGGCACTGCTTCCTTCGGGAGGGCCTGGAAAAGCTGGCCTAAAAATTGCTGGGGAACCACGTCGTCTGCTGGCGCACCGTGGTCGCAGACGCAAAACTCACGGTCGAAACAATCAAACTCGAAACAACAACAACAACCATACTCATTCTCCTCATCCTACCTCTTCTACCTCTACCTCCGTCTATTCTTCTGTCTATTCTTCTCCTTCGTCATCTTCTTCTCCACCTCCTTCCCATCGCCCCACTCGTTTTCCCCAGACTGACAGGGTGAGCCCGCTCACTCTGGCAGCCTGGAATGTTCGTTCCCTTTTAAACAATCCGAGGAGCAACCAACCGGAACGGAGGACGGCGCTAGTGGCACGAGAACTGGCGCGCTACAAGGTGGACATCGCCGCACTCAGCGAGACCCGATTCTCCGAACAATGTCAACTGGAGGAGGTGGGTGCCGGTTACACCTTCTTCTGTAGTGGCCGAACCAGGGCAGAGCGACGAGACGCGGGCGTCGCCTTCGCCATCCGGACCGACATCGTGGGACGACTGCCCTGTTTGCCGCAGGGCATCAACGATCGCCTGATAAGCCTCCGCCTGCCTCTCTGGGGAGGCAAATTCGCCACCATCATCAGCGCCTACGCTCCGACGATGACCAGCCCCGACGCCGTCAGAGACAAATTCTACGAGGACCTGCACGCCCTCTTGGCGACTGTGTCGAAGGCGGACAAGTTGATTGTCCTTGATGACTTCAACGCCCGCGTCGGCACAGACCATACTGCCTGGAGAGGAGTGCTGGGTCCCCACGGTCTCCGCGGCTCCAACGACAACGGCCTGCTTCTCCTCCGCACCTGCGCAGAACACCGCCTCACCCTGACGAATACCTTCTTCTGTCTGAAGAGCGAGAGAAGGCCACCTGGAGGCATCCTCGGTCGCGTCAGTGGCACCTGCTGGACTATGTCCTCGTCCGGAGGCGAGATCAGCGGGACGTGCTGGTGACGAAGGCGATCGCGGGTGCTGACGGGCGGACCGACCATCGCCTCGTCATCTCGAAGATGCGTATTCGCCTACAGCCTCGCAGGAGACCACAAGGTAAGCGACGCCCAGGTAAGCTGAATGTTGCTTTGTTGTCTTTGCCTGCTCACCGTCTCCATTTCAGCAATGAACTAGCTCAACGGCTAGACAACCTTCCTATCGCTGCCGCCGCCGACGACGCCGCCGACGACGCCGCCGCCGCTGCCGAGAACGCCTCCGTGGAGAACCGCTGGTGTCAACTGCGTGACACAGTCCAGTTGACGGCGCTCGCCGTCCTCGGTTGCGCTCCCCGCCAACACCAGGACTGGTTCGACGACAACGACGCTGCCATCAGAAATCTGCTAGCCGAGAAGAACCGCCTACATAAAGCCTACGTAGAGCACCCAACTGAGGGCAACAAAACTGCCTTCTACCGCAGTCGCCGACAGCTTCAGCAACGACTGCGCGAGATGCAGGACGCCTGGACTGCTCGCAAAGCTGAGGAGATCCAAGGCTACGCGGACCGCAACGAATGGAAGAACTTCTTCTCTGCGATCAAAGCTGTCTACGGTCCGCCGACGAAGGGCCCTACTCCTCTCCTCAGGGCCGACGACAGCACTCTCCTGACTGAGAAGACGCAAATCCTGCAGCGATGGGCCGAGCACTTCCGAGGCGTCCTCAACCGCGCTTCCGTCATCTCCGAAGCCGCCATCGCCCGCTTGCCGCAAGTGGCGACCAACGCGGACCTCGACCTCCCGCCATCTCTCCAGGAAACGATCAGGGCCGTGCAGTAGCTCTCCAGCGGGAAAGCACCCGGATCGGACGCAACCCCTGCTGAGGTCTACAAGCACGGAGGTCCCCTACTGATGGATCTCCTGACTGCGCTCTTCCAGGAGATGTGGCGTCAAGGTGAAGTCCCGCAAGATTTCAAGGACGCAACTATCGTGCACCTATACAAGCGCAAAGGGAATCGCCAAGTCTGCGACAACCACCGCGGCATTTCCCTACTGAACATCGCCGGGAAGATCTTCGCTCGCATCCTACTCAACCGCCTCAACAACCATCTGGAACAGGGCCTTCTGCCGGAAAGCCAATGCGGCTTCCGTCGTCATCGTGGGACCACGGATATGAGCTTCGCAGCCCGCCAACTTCAGGAGAAGTGCCAGGAGATGCGGACCCACCTGTACTCTACCTTCGTGGACCTGACGAAAGCCTTCGACACGGTGAATCGTGAAGGACTGTGGAAGATTATGCAGAAATTCGGCTGTCCGGAGCGATTCACTCTGATGGTGCGTCAGCTGCACGACGGTATGATGGCGCGAGTCACGGACAACGGAGCTGTCTCAGAGGCATTCGCAGTGACCAACGGAGTGAAGCAGGGCTGTGTGCTGGCGCCTACCCTCTTCAGTCTCATGTTCTCTGCCATGCTGATGGACGCCTACCGCGACGAACGCCCTGGAATCCGCATCGCCTATAGAACGGACGGTCATCTCCTGAATCGCCGGCGCATGAACTTCCAATCGCGTGTATCCACAGCCACCGTGCACGAACTCCACTTCGCCGACGACTGCGCCCTGAACACCACCTCCGAAGCGGAGATGCAACGGAGCATGGACCTATTCTCCGCCGCCTGCGAAAACTTTGGGCTGGCTATCAACACGCAGAAGACGGTGGTGATGCACCCACCGCCGCCCAACTCAGCCACAGCCCCCAACGCGCCGCCGCAAATCAACGTGAATGGGACTCAACTGCAAGTGGTAGAGAACTTCCCGTACCTGGGCAGCACGCTCTCCCGCAACACCAAGATCGACGACGAAGTCGCCAACAGGATCTCGAAAACCAGTCAAGCCTTCGGTCGCCTAAACCACTTCCACCTCAGCTGTCTCCGCCGCATCTTGAGGCTGAACTGGCAGGACCGCATCCCCGACACCGAAGTGCTGGAACGGACGGGAATTCTGAGCATCTACTCCATGTTGAGGCAAATGCAGCTGCGCTGGAGCGGCCATCTGGTGCGCATGGACGACGAGCGACAACCCAAACGACTCTTCTACGGAGACGTCGTGACGGGTTCTCGTCGTCAAGGAGGCCAAATTCGCCGTTACAAAGATACTCTGAAGTCCTCCCTGAAGCGCTTGCACATCAACCCGACCAACTGGGAAGAGCTCGCCCGCGATCGTCCGACATGGAGGAGAACAGTGAAGACGGGCGCTGCCATCTACGAAGCCAACCGCATCGCCGCCGCCAAAGTGAAACGTGAAGTCCGCAAATCACAACTTCGCCCAATACGCAACGCCGCCGCACAACCTCTCCCTACGTGTCCTCGATGTCAACGGACATTCCGGGCAGGAATCGGACTTGTTGGACATCTTCGAACCAACTGCACCTCTCGAACTGCTCCAGCCATCGTCCCCGCGCCCGCCTCTTCCTCGTCCTCTCTTCCGCCAACTAACTCTGACACTCCTTCTGCACCACCACTTCCATCCTCCTCCTTCTCCTCCACTGCCCCAGCGGTGGCCGTTCAGGCTGCCGTCTCACACATCGCCAACCACGACACAGCAACCGCAACCACCCCCACCTGTCCTCACTGCGACCACACCTTCACCTCACACAAGGGCCTGGTCGGTCACTTGCGAATCTATCGCACAGAGACTGGTGAACCAGTGCCTGGAGCACCAACCTACACCCACCGCACTCGCCTCCACTGCCCACAATGCCCTCGCACCTTCCGGCATCGCATGGGCCTATTCGGCCACATGCGCATCCACGAGAGCGGAATTGACCGCAGCCTTGACACACCCACCCCGCCGAGCCCCACTCCCAGTCCATCACCTTGTGCACCCACTAACCACTCCCCAGTTGACATCGACGCCACCGACCTTACCACCCCTCACTCCCCCCCTTCCTCCTCCACTTCCTCCTTCACTGCCACAACGACGGCCACTCCGGCGACTGTAGCGCACGGCTTCACCACAGCCGCACCTGACACAACAACAGGCACAACCCCTGCAACCTCCATCAACAGATGTGAGGGCGCGGACTACATCTGCCCTCACTGCGATCGCACCTTTACTTCACGCATCGGCCTGGTCGGTCACTTGCGAATCCATCGCACAGAGTCTGGCGAACCAGTGCCTGGAGCACCAACCTACACTCACCGCACTCGCCTCCACTGCCCACACTGCCCTCGCACCTTCACGCATCGCATGGGTCTATTCGGCCACATGCGCATCCACGACGACCTGCGGTAGACAACCGCCGGTCACACCACACATTCCCTCACTCCCTACCTCCTAACATCATCACCCCACTAGACGTCAACCCTCACACACCTCATGCACTCAACTGCCGCCTCCCACGCAAGTGGGAAGTGTGCATCTCGACTCGGTCCCCATGCGGCCTCGGCTGCACGAGTGACTTCAGTCCGAGACTATCCCGACACGTCAAGTGTCGTGGATAGGAAGGTTGCTGATTGACGCCCGTTCTCGGTTCACGCAGTTCGTCACGTTGTGTGTGTGTGTTGTGTAGTGGCGGACTGGTGGGCTGGGGACGGGCTGAAACAGCACCTTCCACGGCCCCCTCACGCAAGCGAGGGACACGCCGATCAACCCCCGTTGTGTGAAATCCTGGTGTTTGTGTGTATGGGGGGCCAGGTCGTGCTGTGGCGCGCGCAGGCATGGTCAGTCGACCATGTCAGCCACCGCGCCCATTCCCCACTCCAGTCTACTGACCGGCTCGGACAGTGGCTGGGGTGTGGGAATGGGAAGGGAGAGTGAGGTCGACGACTCAGCGCATTTTCCTCACTATAAACAATCTGACGCGCTTGAAGCTATCACGGTGCGCTAAAAGCCGTGGCTTGGAAGGTTGCCAACTGATGGGATAACTTGGACGTCCTCCTCGACTGGTGGGGATCTGAGAGTCAGACCGCAATGACTCCTTCTTAATGTGGTCTTTATGGCACTCCCACCACAGTGTGGGATCCGAGCCAGGCGTCGGCGGCACGCCTAGGTGCGGCTTCGGCCATGCCAGCCTCCAATCTCTGTTGTGATTGGTTGAAATCCTGGTTATTTGTTGTGTGGACCAGGGGGCGTAGTGGCACGCCTAGGTGCGGGTCCCGCCGTGCCAGCCACCTGCGCCCTCCACGCCTCCGGTCTTCTTGACCATGTCTTGACACCGGGTCCAAGTTGGGAGTGGGGAAGGGAGAGTGCGGTAGATGTTGTGCAAGTCTACAATCGCTATAAACTAATTCACGCACAAGTCACCATGCCTGCTGCACCTTGTTGTGTAGCACATGGCGGACATCGTCGGAATCCAAGGTCGGGCTGTTGAAGGGTGTGATGTCGGTAACGTTCTTGCCAGATGTTGAGTGCTGATAGTTGTCGCCGTCGGCGTGTGTGCTGTGGCACTGATGATGGAGGCGGTCTACTCAGCGGCGGGGAGCGTTTGAAGTCAGTTTACCAATGGATGTAGTCGCAATCGAGTGCGCCTTGGGGGTTGCGGCAGCGGGAACTTTGGAGACATTTTCGGAGACAATAGGTAGAGTTGTTATGTTGTTGCTTCCGACGAGGTCGGTCCACGCGCGGAATGTCCGGTGACAACTTGGACATGTTATAAATGATAGGTTCTTGGTGTCGAGGTTCCACAGCGTTGGCGACTTGCAAGTCGTACTTTTTACTTTGAAAGCAACAATGTTGCTACATTCGTCACTGCTCTTCTCCAGGTCGGTCGGTCCTGGAAAAGATAATCCCAAGTCTCCGGATTTATCTGCAAATCTTTTGATGGAAGTTCGTGTAATGTCCTTGTAGCATAGTTTTTGTCCTTTTTGTCAGCGAGCATCCATAGCGACAACGTAGTAGAAGAGTGGCCTAGTAAGGTGCTTTTAATCCATCTCCGAGAGGTACGCACCTCAGCACGGTTTCAGTTGCCTCAGCATAGCATAGAAGGGGGGCTTCCGATCCGTCCCAGGAGGTCCGTGTCCGGGATCCTGCCCGACCCTTCAGAATTGGTCTGCCCCGGAGCCAGTTAAGGCGGAATTTGTGCAGTTTCCCAACTCGGTCGTCGTAGACGCCCCTTGTTTTAGTCCCGCGAAGTAGTGTCGCCAGGACTACTGCCCGGTACATCCTGCACCTGGCGTCCAGATGAGGTCTTCAGTGACTCCAGACTGAGGCCTGCAGTCGGCCGAAAATTTGCCTGGCATCAGAACTCCAGTGGGTCGTTGTCTCATCGATTTTGACATTCCGCGAGATTGTACTGGCTGGGTATGCAACTTTATTCACGGTGTAGTTTCGGCCTTCATTGACGGAGGGTGTTAGTAAGTCGTGTCTGACGCCAACTGATGTATGACCATATTCAGTTCAGCGTTATCGCAGTTGGAGGTAATGGGAGTCAACGCCCCTTTGCGTGGGCGCTTCCATTGTTGTAATGAATACACATTCGTCCTCGAACGCTAAGTAGTAGATGCTGATGTGGGGGGTACTCTTAAGTGTGCTCGCATGTGCCGTGCGTTGAGCGGTTTCCAGTGGGCTGACAGGCGGCTTCGATTTCTGGTCAATCCTTATGGTAGACGTCCATTAGCATGGCGGAGAACGTGAGTCTCGCTTCACCCTACCGTTTTCTCTGACATGAGCCAACATTTCGTCGTGTAGTTGGCGTGCCATGTGTAAAGCGTCGGTGCAGACACCAGGAGGGTGTGCAAGTCTTCGTAGAACTTGTTCTCCATGCCGTCATAGTTGGTCATAGGGAGACCGCAGACGCTGAGGACGATGGCGAATTCGCCTCCCCAGAAAGGCAGGCGGAGGGCCATGAGACGTTCGCTGATGCCCTGCGGCAGACAAGACAGGCATCCCACGACGAGGTCAGCGTCGCGCTGCTCTACCTTTGGGCGACCATACCGGAGGAAAGTGTAGCTGGCACCCACCTCCTCGGGCTGACCCTCTTCCGAAATTCGAATCTCGCTGAGGACAGTGACGCCCATCTTGTAGCGCGCCGGTTCTCAGGTGATTAATGCGTCTTCCTTTTGGGTCGGTTGTTCCGCGAACTCTCTAAGAGAGGGAACGAAATTTCCAGGCTGCCAGAGTTAGCAGGGTCGATATAGTAGCCTGTGGGGCAGGGGTTGTTGTTGTTTTGTGTGTTGTTTCGAACGTGATTTTTGCATCTACGATCCCTATACAAGACTGGTTAGACATCCCAGGTGACCATCGAACTCCCTTTTGAATCACGAGCTTGTTTACTGTGAGGACGATCCGAGTTAGCCTGGGCTGCATGAGAGATCGGTCGACGGTTTCGACGATGTTTGCCGTGTGCTTAACAGCAAGGCGGAGCAGGGATGGTGACTTGTGCGTGAGATAGTTTATAATGATGATAGACTTGCGCGTCATCTACCGCACTCTCCCTTCCCCACTCCCCACCTGGAATCGGTTTTAAGACAGAGTCAAGAAGACCGGAAGTGGAGGAGGGCACAGGTGGCTGGCACGGCCGGAGTCGCACCTAGGCGTGCCACCACAGCCCCTGGTTCACACAGCAAATGACCAGGATTTTTCGCCAACAACAACAACACCACAACAGCGGTCAGAGGGACGAGGATGATGACTGGGTAGTCATGCCCACCACCTGTGTACCTAGCGGGAGCGCAAGCGCATCTACCGGCAGGGAACCAGGTGTCAGTGAGCTGTCAGCGCATAGATGGCTGCAAGGACCATGGTCTTCTGATACAGGCATAGCACACACTTGGGCTGCTTACGGACTAGTGCGCCGCCCGCTTCGCGGGACTTTTTAAGTGATGAGCCGAGAGAACGGGATAACGAACAGGGAGTGGGACTACTGGATGTGAGAACACACACCGGATGTCCTGACTTGGTGTAGACCGCTGGCCGAGACGACTACTGCACAGAGGATAGCTTAGGGGAGCCAGAGATGAGAGTTGAGTGTCAGTTTAAAAAAAACTGTGTGGAACGACCACTACCAGCTCTAGGCACAGGGAATGACCTGTCGCTCCTACATGATGTACCCCCTAACTGGAAACTCCTACATGCTGAGCAACACTAAAAAACGGTTAAATCCCCCGCCGAGAAGCCTTTTACCGTTTAGAAAACCATGCAGTCATTGTCTCTATGAGCTGTCAGGGCTTGCCTCTGATGATGAGTGAAAACGTAAAAGTTCAAATCTACTCATACAACTGACGTTCTCTTTTGTGTCCTACGCGCTGTAGTACATATGCACTATTTCGCAAGGACCTTTGTGGATTGCCACTGTTTCCAGATAGTCATTTTATATACTACAGAGGACGAAAAATTAGAGAAGGGGAGAGAGTGAGAGAGAGACACTTCAATACGGGAGACAGTAATGCTACAATTGCCCAAAATGGTGCACGCTGGGTTCGTTAATGGTTTCTTTCGAGTATGAATATAACAGTCCCTTTGGTTTACTTTGACGGTCCAGCTACAGCTGCATTTTACGGAACTGATAAATGCGCAACGGCCTCAGCATAAATTTGCATCGCAGTGTAGGTCTGGGCAAAACTATGTGAAGAAGGAGACGCGATCGCCCGAACATGGGCTTTAGTTTCCAAACGACTAAAGTGTTCAGGAAAACGACAAATACGGCACGAGCACTGAACTTCACCTGCAACCACCCAACCATCCACAAACGCGTTGCGTAAGGACGCTATTTCGACTTGCTGAGGCACACTGCAGCCAACCAAAAAACAAGGTGTCCAGAGACAATGGCTCCATGTGCATACGCCACCCGTATCTGTAGTTGCCTCTGATGGTGGATTCAAGCAGGAGTTTGAAACTTCAGGCAAATAAAGCGCTTTTCCCAACCATTGTGGCTTCCTTCTTCGCAGATTCTTCCTGTGACTCGTCTTCCTGCCTCTATTAAGCGCAGCTTGCCAAACAGTCTGGTATGTTGGAGCTAATAACGTCGTTGAATTTTTAAAAAACCTAAGGTGAAGGAACTGTGATTTTTGCGGTTCTTTGTTTTGAAAAGTGGAACAATTCTCTTAAAAATTGCACTGACACAGTTTGTTGGCGCTTTACTAAGTGACCCTGAAACTTCCTTAAGGTGAAATCAAAAGACGGAATGCTTATGTGATCCAGTTGGTGTGATAAGCCCTCACAAAGCCTGAATCAGGTCAACAATTACAGTACAAATGAAGGTTTCCGCGTGTTTGCTTTTGCGACAGTTTTTCGGTTGAGGTCATCATCCAAACAATAGCAAAAAAACGGGAAAAGTTAGCATTTCTTTCCTTTAAGATTTAAACATCAGCCGAGAACAGATCATGGAGGAAAACTCACTCCGGAGGAAATGATTCGCCTTGGAGAATCTTTGGAAACCTAGCATAAAGTCCAATGATAATGAATTAAAATTCCAGTGCCTTAAAGATAAAAAATCTTGTTCACCTTGAAGACAGCATGTTCCACTTCCCATCGGCCATCACTGACTGGATTCCTAGTCGTGCATATCGTTAAACAATGGTACCTTTCGAAAGTGACGACTGGACTTGGAGGTGGAGACTCATTCGACAATTCTGTCATCTCAAAAGACAGAAATTCACTCGAAAACTCGAAGTTTTGTAAAACGTGTATAAATGTCAAGTTGCCTGGCTCGTGACGACTGGGTTTTTCGTCGAGTGACCGACGGTAACTTACTGCTTGAACTTAAGGCGGACAGAGCCAGATAGCAAAGGACTCATTCATTTACCTGACAGATCTCACGTCGACACACCCATACAAGCCCGAGATTCTACTAAGAAGTGAAATATTCACGGCTGGGTCACACAGAGCCAGAATACTGACGAAACACCTGTTCAGATTTTCGGGTAGCACTGTGTAGTTAGAAATGTTATGCACAGAGCTTGTGCGTCCAAATAGACATTAACGAGTTCTACGAAATGTCCTGCGGGGGATGGGATTCAAGTTACCCCGGCAAACAGTGGGATATGCCCTCATCCACAAATACAGAATGCAACCACCAGTTAAGAGACACGAGCACTCGGTCGCCGGACTGAGACACACAGCTGGTCAGAAAATAATGCATGCGTCTGACGCCTGTTTATCAAGAGTCGCGAATTTCGCGAGACATGTATCGGTAGACATCGGTACTAATATTGAACAAGAAACGCTTAAAAGCAGGTGGGGGAGGCAGCAAATCCCAGATGGTTAGGCAGACACAATAACCGAGTAATGACTTCTGAGTCTTTTTTTAGAGATGACTTAAAGACAAAGGGTTGCAAAATCTCTTTCAACCGTTTAACCACAAAATAATAAGCCAGTATGGAAAGTGTGAGAAATGCACAATCCCTCTCCGATGAACTTCAAAACCTCAGGTAGCCAGGCCCTAATTAATTTTGTTTCCGGAAGACTAATTACTTAACACACGTTTACTTTTGTTACATACTCGCCAGGACGTCATACTTACATGAGGACGGGCGTCGTGAGGGAGATCGATTTAAGCTCGTCTTTTCGCCCAAATTGGATGTGGGGAGGGGAAAGGGGTAGGAATAGTCGTGTCAGGTTACGCAAGCCGGTCCCGTGCGTGCAGATAATCCTCGTGCAAGCTCTGCATCTACCATGGCCAAAGTTCGGTTACCTGCATGCACTTCTCAGCGCTCCTATCCTCCCCTACTCCTCCCCCCGACGTGACTCTTCCTAGTCCCCCCCTCCCCCACATATTACTAACGAGATAAGGCGAAGTTCAATTGATTTCTCTCATTGCTTACATGATTAGCCTGGTCCTGTGCTCATAAAAAATGCATTGGCCTGATGCGAGTATATCGATGGCAAACGTATGATCGTCAAATAATACTCGGAATCCGTTCGTACAAGTCTGCTGAACTTTGGTTCGATGACGCTGTATGCCCATTCGTGCAACATCATCTGCAGACCCTCCGCTTGGCGTTTATTAGGAGTTCGTGTTTTTACTTACGGTGCAAGGAGGTCGTGACTAGTCTGAAGCAGTTGCGTTCTCAACCATCCTTCTTGACGCCTGATCTGTCGGCGTGCAAATGAATCTGACTGTAACAGTCTCAAGACAACTGGGCGACGGAATGCAATGCCATCTAAGGTAGCCTAGCGAGTAGGAAAAGACCATAGCAAGCAAATTCTGAGAATTTTTACTGCGCCGAATTACAGTAGGTGGGCTAACTCATGAAATGTCAACCGAAATTCCCAAAGGCGTTTTCGTTTCGAAGAGATTAATTAAAAAGGGTTGTTAAATTAATCACTCTGCAATATGATTCTACAATATTTCACTTACCTCAGGATGCCGGCTTTCGAATGAACTTCCTTCCGGCTGCATGCAAAAACTATACTCTGCAAAAAGGGTCTGCTTATGTAGCATGAATTTTTCTCGTTGATTTTCGAGGCCCATAAAAGTCCAATTATATTTCATAAAAAGCATGCATAAAATATTCATTCTTTTGCTCATTCGGTAGACAATTATGTTTTCTTCCAATCTTATAGTCGAAGGAGAGGTATAATTCGGTTTTTCAAACTTTTACAATTCCCGAATAATTTTCAACCCGCTCTTCCGTTACACTTGAATTCAGGGTTTCCAAACTACTAGCTGTATATTGCCCGCGTATGGAAAACTGCACATTTCTCTACGATAATAAAGGGGGACCATGTAGAGTTCATAAAATTCAACAGTGGATTTGATCCATATTGTTAACTTTACGAGCCACATCGGTAAATCTAGGGACATTTCGATTTATGAACGACCATTCCACGGTATTTAGAAGTCCCACAATTAGAAACTATTTTAAAACCAAATTATGTCCCTCCTTCGTGTATAAAATTAAAAGAAGACGTAATTGTCTACCAAATGAGCAAAAGAATGAACATTTTTATGCATGTTTTCCCTGAAATATAATTGGACATTTATGGGCATCGAAAATCAACGAAAAAAAATTGGTGCTACAGAAGTAGTCATTTTTTAGAGATTGTAGTTTTTGCATACAGCCGGAAGGAAGTACAT